GGTGAAAAGTATAATTTGATAAGGAGGATGGGAAAAGGCGGGAGAGGCAGGGCTGGCCTCCTGCTCGCAGCCAAGAGCCCCCGGCCGAGCCGTGCCCCCCCCAGCCGGCTGCAGCACCGCTCCCTGGCACCCCATAATTACCCACCCTCCTCCCACTAAAACAAATATGGCAAAATCGAGTTAATAGGGCTTAAAAGGCTGCCGTGGGCATGCTCAGCTCGCCCCTCGCCCATTAGGCCTTAACGAAGTTCAATTAGGAGCTTAGTAAAAATCAATGCAAATGAATTTTTCTCTTGCCCGACTTGCCGGGTCTGGGAGGTGATGGAGAGGAGGCACCTGGCAGGACCCTTTGCTGCCACCACAGGAGATGCCACCTCCACGGCCACGGAAGGCTCTTGCTGTGCTGCTGACTGCCCGTGCCTCAGTTTCCCCTGCAGAGAGGGGGGGCTGGGGAGAGGGGGTCCCTCTGCTGCCCCCAGGAACCCGCAGAGCCCCGAGCCATCAGGGCCACTGCACACCACTGGGATTTAAGGGATCATCTCCTCCCACCTGCAAGCCTGGGTCCTGTCTCCTGCCCCGTTCACCCTAATCCCATTTGGGGTGCAAAATGCTCCCGGCAATGGGGTGGTGGGGCCACCCCGAGCTGCCCTGTGCCCCAAAACCCCCCGAGGGGAGGCAGGTACCAGCAGCACCCTCCTGCTCCGGCCCCCTCCCATCCCGGCTCTCCATCTCTCCGAGCAGATTTCTGGGAGGTTTCTGTAAATCCCAAGGAGCAAAACTGGGGCCAGGATCCTGCTCAAAGCAAGGGGGAAAACCTGCCACCAAGGTCTCGTCCCCGAGGTACGCGCACCAGCCCCCCCCTCCATCCCCAGAAAGCCCAGTCCTCCCGCGTCTGCCGGCGCACAAACACGCCAGCGATCGCTTGGCAATGTCACGCGGGAGACAGACGTGACAGTTAAATGGGGTTTAGAGAAATTATTAAATGCTGGAAGGGTCACTTGAGCGTGTCAGTGGCTCTTAAAAAAAAAAAAAAAAAAAGATTTTGACAAATTACTCAGCATCCTGCATGCAAATGCACAAGCTGGTGCGTGCGGTTTGGGGTTGGGGTTTCTTCTTCCTCCTTTGGGTTTTAATTTGATTATTCAAACTCAGATCAAATGATTTGGGGTTTTGTTTTTTGCCTTCCGTGGCTGATGCTCTTGCAAAGGGGCTGGTGCCCTGCGGTGGGGAGGGAGACCGCAGGCTGAGTCTTATCAAAATATTTGCCGATGCTCTGCACGAAGGGCAGGTTTAAAGAAAAGGAGCGTCTAATTAGGTATTAATGAGATTTAAAACAAAAGAGCGGGCGCAAGGAGATGGGAAGTGATGATGAGCCCTCTCGTTACTTAGTTCTGCGCGGGGCAGCTCACTGCCTCCGGAGATTTCTTATGAAGCTGATCCTAATGGATGATCAATACTGAGAGTCACAGCCTCGCAAACACATAGATAAATCAAAGAATTAGCTTTAAAAAAACCCTCAGTGACTTGCCTCGGCCTCCCGCGCTTTGTACCTGTGTTATAGAGCCTCGCGCCCCCTGGGACCTCCCAGGAGCATCCTCCCACACGAGCCCACAGCTTGGCATTTTTCCCACTGGGGACAGGTCTCACTCGAGACCCGAGGTCTCCGGTGGTACTGGGACCCCAGGGCTGGAGCGCACGGTGGCACTGGCAGCAAGCGGGCAGCTGCCTTCATTGGATGGGAAAAGTCCCTGTCACCGGGAAACCTTGGTCAAACCCTGATGGGAAGGGAACGGGTGAGGGCTGCTGGTGTGACCCGAGCCGGAGCACCCTGCTGATGCTCAGCATCCACCACACCCCCCCAGGGGACACCCTTTTCTTTTCTTTTCTTTTCTTTTTTTTCTGTTTTTAGGGCAGGGATGGCACTGCTGGCAGGTGGCCTCTCACCTCTGGACTTCATCCCGACGAAGCGGTTCTCCACGATGTCGATGCGCCCGACGCCGTGCTTGCCCCTGCGGGGGAGAAAGGAGGTTGCAGCAGCCTCAGCCCCGCAGCGGGACGTGGGTGGCCGTGAGAGGTGGGTCAGAGAGGTGGACAACAGGGGACAAACCCCAAATGACAGTGTGGCCAGCCCCTGAGCAGCACTGGTGACCACTGATAGTGACCCCCAGATAGGGCAGGTGAGAGAGAGATGGATTTTCTCTCCTTTTCCCCTCCTCTGTGCTGTGCCACCAGCCTCTCCATCCTTGCTCGCCACTGGGGCCGGCAGCACTGCAGGCAGCAGTGACACTTGGGCCACCGGAAAATAAACCGTGCGAGGAGACAGGACACGCCACAGCTGTATTCCCTATGGCCAAAGTAATTCTAAAACCACTTAATTAACATTTAAAAAGCAAACTACATGGAAAAGTTCATTCCCATTCAACGCTGGCAGGATAAAGGCAGAGGCACAAAGGAGGATGGCCGGGGACTGGGTGGCACTTGGCGCAGGGCAAGAGGAGCGGGTGCCCTCGTGGGTGCTGCTGTATTTTTGGGCAAGCCCCTGGGGATGGTGCTGCCATGGCAGCAGCAGAAACCAGTCTGGGGCTGGCTCTGCCCTGGCAGCAGCAGAAACCAGTCACGGGGATGGCACGGGGCAGAAAACCCCAAAGGAACTGCTGCCTCAGAGGTGGGGGGTGAGGGGGAAAGGGTGATGGACCCAGCCGAGCATGGCTCTGAGCCCCCCAAAACCCAACTTTCCACCCCAAAGGGACTCTGAGCCCCTTTGGGCAGGCAGGACGAGGCGATGCCCCCCGGGATGTGGGAGCTGGGGGCTGAGCTGGGAGCAGGGCAGAGGGTGTCCCGGGGGATGAGCAGCCCTCACCCAACCGTGCGGCTGGGGCAGACGGTAGAGGCGGAGGGTGTTAATAAGACTTTTAGCCCTCCTTGTATGCAGGGAGAATAAACCCTAAATACTCCCATGCTCATGGACTCCATGTCCAGCTCTGCTTGCTGGCACATATGGCACAACTGGGACCATCCCATCCTCATACTGCTGACCACCATCCCTGGGGGCTCACGGGGACGTGCCTGCAGCGAGCATCCCGCCTCCATCCCACCCTGGGGTCCCTGCCCTCCTCCCCGCTGCCAGCTGGCGGGGGGGTGGCAGCGGTGGCAGGGGACAACGTGGCACTCACGCGATGTCGTTCAGGTAGATGAAGAGCTCCAGGGCCGAGGAACGAGTGGCTCCATCCCCAGCATTGGTGACCTTCATGGGGACACCTGCGGAGGCGGGGAGGGAGGACGGGCAGGATCAGCCGGTGTCAGGATTCCCCC